TGGTTGATCTGGCGAACATAACGATAAACTATCAGAGGGAGACCGGGGTTTTTGCTATTGTCACTGAAGGACAAAAGGTCAACGACAAACGGACGGACGAACGGACACTGACGACGACTGCAACCAAACTGCGATGCCTGTGTTATGTATGGCCTCCGTCAAAACTGATATAACAGCAAAAAAAAAAAAAACAAAAAGTTGTCAGATGGTTCGACAGCGTTTAAAAAACCGAAAAAAAGTTTTGTTTTGCAAATTTTGCCCAAATAAAATTCAACTACTGTTTCACAGTCATTCAGTACACTTTTCCAGTAAACTAACATTTTTTTAAATGTATATTTTCCGGAAATAGTTGATTAAAATTTAATTTCTTTTTTTTTCCTTTTACCTGTTTTTTTTTTCGAAATTGTAACAAAAAAAAAAGAAGGTATTCTTGAGGTTAAAAAAATTTTTTTCAAGCGTTAATAGAACTGTAAAGAGAGGAAGTCGAAGTAAAATACAATAACTCTGGTTACAGCACAGCAAATACTATTCTGATACAGAGATTATTACAACCAAAATGCTCCAACTGCAGAACAATTAAAACTACTCATCACATAATTGTACCGCTCTTCAGTTATCTGTTTTTGGAAACAAAGTTTTAGTAAATTTTGGTAAACATCCGTTTTTCGTTAAACATTCTACTACTACAACTGTTCACTAATACTGATCACTGAAGCTTCTTAACAGCTTCCAATAACAAATATTGTAACGGTAATTGAAATGTTAAAGGCAATCGAAAGAGTTGCAAAAGAGTATCAAGAATGATTGCTTTCTCTTATTTTGTTTTCACATTTTTCAATACTGTAGAAATAGTACAAATGAACAGTGAGTTAGGATTGACAATCCATAAATTTTTTAAAATTATGCTGTCGACTTTTTTCTTTTGTTGATTACTTAAATTACGTTAAACCAGCAAAGTTTTGACATCAGGAATTTGAAAAGTTTCAAAATCAGAAATCCAAACAAAGCAGCATTCGTTAGCGTTGAAAAAAAGAACAATTTTTTTTTTCTAATACACCACAAATATATCTGATATTTTTCGTAGAAGTTAAACTGAAGACAAGAAGAAACAAAAAAAGAAATGCTTTTTTTTCTTCTCTCATCTTCTTCTTTTTTTTTTTTTTTTTTTTTTTTTTTTTTTT